AAATAGCAAAAGAACAGTACAGACAATACAGAGTTACAAACAAAGTGGTAGGAAATTAACAATGCTTGTTGTACTACATATTGATATCTTCAAAGTGGTTTCTCATGAAAACAGATAGAGACATGCAAGACTGATCAGTCAAGGACTCACTGACAGTTTCTTTCAGCAAAGAAATAGAAGACAGTAGGACAACTATGTTACCTATCCTGTATATACATACATATAAAATTTCTCCCCCTTTCCTTTCTCTTTTCCCACATCCCAGTTGCCCTTTACCTTTGAGCATTTTCCTATCATTTCACAATGTCTATCATACCTCCAAGTTTAAATTAACTTTCAGGTTTTACACTAGTGAGACAATGTGGTGCTTGCACATGCAGGTCTGATTTATTTCCCTTATAAGTATGGTCTCCAGTTCTGTTGTATTTTTAAAGCATATCTGAATGCTTTGGATAGTCATGGGAGAGAGCAGTGTCTGACTTGGAGAGGAGTGGCTTCCTTCAAACAGAGGGCATTGTGATCTTCTACTTCCCTGATATTTTCATGACGATTGCAGCATTTCATTGAATTCAATCAAGAAACATATGTTGGGCTTCACTTCCATCTAGTGGAGGAAGAGGATGGTGAAGCATGAGTTGTGCCTATATTGAACATGTACAGCAGAAATTACCCTTAAATCATGACTCCTCTGACCATGAGGGATATTTCTTTCTCAAAGGTTGGAGCACATGCTTCCCCCATCATTACGATAGTGCTCAGAAGACAGGAACCATAACTACTATACCAGGCTCAGTGCTCTAGATCAGAAGCACAGAAGAACTGGTCTTTTTTTTTTTTTAAAACAAGGTCTTTCCATGAAGTTCAGACTGACCTTGAACTCACAGCAACCTGTCTGCATCAGCCTCCCACGTGCGGGGATAACAGGGATGTGCTACCATGCCCACTGTGGTCTTCTTGAGCTTCCTTCTTTGTACACTGGAATACTCAAGTCTGGGAAGTATGACTCCTATAGTGTTGTGTGGTCCTGTACCACACAGGATGCTTGTTTATTCTTCTCTTCTGTCCTCTGCCCCATGTTTTCAAAAGAAAAGAAACATGTTTTCCTCTTATACACAATACTTGTTCTAGCCCTTATATGTTACTATTTTGAAATGGACCTGATTAAAAGTTTAGCTATGAGTTAGGAAGATGAGGTATTACATTGAAAGTATAATGAGATTTTTGCCTGAGGAAAGGGAGAGCAGGCTAGCCCTCATTCCATTGTTGTCACCAAGATCTTTCATCTTCTTCCCATCCTGTCTACCTGCCTTTTCCGGAGGGCATGATTCCACCAGCTACCTCCTCTTGCGAGTTATGAAACAGATCCCTCTGTGCCAAAGTGCTCAAGTTCCTTTTGAGGAAAAGAAATGTTCAGTTTGAACATGTGTTGTAAGAAATAACCATGTGTAAGTATCCTTGATATTTCTCTCAGTAATGTGAGAAGTCACATCTTGACAGTGGAATTTTCCCCTCAGTGAGTCTCTACTATTGATAAAATAATTGCTCAATCTTTCCATATCCCTGTTAGGTTTGTGTATAGATGTCCTCCCCAAAGCCTCATGCTGTCATAGATGGTACTTTTCAGAGGTGGCTGGATCTACAGTGTGTGATGATGGGATTAAGGGTGCGTGATTACTAAATTAGTCCACTGACTGTTTTGGCATAGTTTTGAGTGTGGGGTAATGGGAAGGCCCATCCTGAGTGTGAGTGCTGCCTGCCTTAAGGGTGTGCAGCCTAGATAGACTATAAGAGACAGAAAGAGGACTGCTATTGCTTCTTGCTACTTGCTTCCTTGCTACTTTGCTGTCTTCCAGCCTTCTGCCCACCATGAACTGTTTTTCCTCTGCCATGCCACACTGCCTTGGAGCCAATCAACTATGAACTGAAACCTCTACAAACTGTGAGGTAAATAATCCACCCCTCCTTTAATTTGGGTATCAGATATTTTGTCTCAGCAAAGACAAGAGTGACTAAGACAGTCGCCTTCTGTCTTCCTTATCATCACACTACAGCTTAATATGCTTCACCCATTTTTGAACTTGGCACAGTCTATCTTTCCCTTCTGATTTCTTCCATTCTCTTGAATGGAAGTATACTTGACCTGCTGTATGTATAGGTACATCACTGCAGACTCAACTAACTTTGGATCAAAAATATTTTTAAAAAGTTGTGCCTATATTGAACATGTACACTTTTCTTGTCATTATTTCTGAAACAGTACAGTAAAACACTGATTTGCATAGCATTTATATTGCATTATAGATCATAAGTAGTAACCTAGAGATGATTTAGAGTATCAAAGAGGATGTGTTTGGGTTATATGCAAATACTATGCTACTTTATATAAGGGACTGAACATCTATAGGTCTTACTATCAGGGAGGAGAATCCTGGAACCAATCTTCCGAGAATGCTGAGGGATGACTATACAGTTCATTCTGTCAGTGATCTATTCAGGAGCCTTTTTAATGATCATTGACTTCTTTCAATATAAGTGATATCTTCTCCATCTATGGTAGTTCAGATCACAAATACCATGGTCATATCCTGGGTCACCACTAATGTCCTTTCAGTCATCTTATTCTTTTTTTTTTTGGTGCCTGGAATCGAACTCAGCTGTGTCACTGAGCTATATTCCCGGCCCTCAGTCATCTTATTCCTTCTCCCCACTATCTCTAAATCATGTCTTATGATGATCTCTAGGTCCTAAATCTTTATTCAATTGTTCTGAGTCTTCTTGTTTTCTCTGCCTTTCAACACTTGAATGTTAGGCAGTGTGACGTCTCTCCCCTGTACTCCCGTTTCTCTGTTGTACCCTCTGACAGTGGCATGGAAGCTGTGTCTGGCCTGCTAAGAGTCTCCTGGGTCACAGCACATCCGTGCAGTTCTGCATCATTCTTCACTCTTCTAGCTCCTTTCCCGCTTTGCTCTTGCTCCCAAATGGTATCTCCTTCGTTGGCTCATTCCTTGATTTTCCTCTCAACTGGCTCCTCCTCTGCCTATGAGGAAGGTAATATTGTTACCTCCCCTTTTCAGTTGAGGAAACTAAAGTTCAGAAATTTCTAAGATTTCCCCATGGTCTCACAACCTGGAAGTGACTGAGTCAAAAATCAAACTCAGGTCTCTCGCTCCCCAAGTCTCATGTTCTTTCTACTCTGCAAACTTTACCCACCTGCCCTTCTCTGTCTTCTCCTCTCTCTACTGCTCTCTGTTTCCCATAAACTTCTGTCCATCTTGACAGTCCTGGTGGCTCTATTTCAGTCATCACTGTTCCACTGCATTGACATTGGTTGACAGATGCTTATGTATCCTCCAAACCACGCTTATGTGCTCACTAAACTTTAAGTCCCATGAAGGCACAGGCTGGATTGTACTCATCATGTATCTCCAGGCCTGAAGAAAGAAAGAGACCCTACACATTTCTGAGTAAATGGGCCCCACTGTCCTTATTCTCCTTGATGCATCAGAGGACCTAACATTGCTGACTGCTCCAACCTTTCCCACGCAGTCTGCTTCCCTTGCTTTGGTAAAGCCATTCGCCTTGTTTTCTTTCTGCTGCTACAGACAAACTCAGTCTTGCTCCTAGGTTTGTAGCTCCTTCTGGGAAGAGACAGATTTTTCTTTCTTTACAATTATAGGGAATGTATAATAAATATTTGATGAATGAGTGAATGGATGAAACATGCAGAAAGTAGGGAGGAAATTCAGAAGCCAGAGATAGAAACTTGCTTTGCAGCTGGTTACTCTGTAACTCTAGGTGGGGGGGGGTAGTTTTCAGAAAATAGACATAAGACTCTCAAAGATGAATGCAGACAGCCAAGCCAAAAATACAACAGGGATAATTAACTTCCCCTCACTGAACAGCAAGAGTGATTTTAGGACCTAAAGTTCCAGAGACTCAGCCAGGAATCTCCTTATGTGAGGACAGCACCTGGGGCTTCTTAGTGGGGACCTGCTGCTGTGTCCTTTGGAAGAGAGTTGCCAGGTGCTGCCTGATTTCCGTGGTTCTGGCGCCATAGATGATGGGGTTGAGTAGACACGGGAGCAGCAGGTAGAAGGCGCTGAGCAGGTTGTGCACGTCCTGGGAGGCAGTGCGGGCCACACGGTAGACAATGGATGAGGACATGGTGGAGGAGTAGACAGTGAAGATGACCAGCAAGTGGGAGCCACAGGTGTTCAGGGCCTTGGAGCGGGCTCCACCTGACGAAATCCTGAAGGCAGCGTGGATGATGCGGGAGTAGGAGGCTGCTAGAAGGAGCATATCCAGGACCCTATTGAAGATGCGGACAGTGAGCCCCACGGTCTTGTTCAGTGAAATGTCCCCGCAGGAGAGCTTCATGAGGGCCATGTGCTCACAGGCAAAGTGGTGGATCACGTCTGAGCGGCAGAAGCGGACTCGAGAGGCCAGCCCCACCACTGGAGCAACTATGCACGTGCTCCTGGCTGCCGCCACCCCCAGCAACCCCACCAGCAGCCGGCCTGTCACTATCTCTGGGTAGCGGAGAGGGTAGCAGATGGCAACATAACGGTCCAGGGCCATGACCAGGAGGATGTTGCAGTCAAAGACAATGAGGAAGTAGATGCAGAACATCTGGAGCAGGCAGCGAGCCAGGGAGATGCGGTTGAAGTGTGTGGAGAAGCTGAAGAGCATGGCGGGCACCACGGTGGTGCTGGCACAGATGTTGACAGCCAAGAGCAGGGCAACGAGCAGGTACATGGGCTGGTGCAGGCTACGCTGGGCTATCACCGTGTAGATGACCAGAGCATTGGCGGAGAGGATCACCAGGTAGAGGCTGAGGAAGGGCAGTACCAGGAGGATGCGAGACTCCCGCAACCCTGGGAAGCCCACCAGGAGGAAGCTGGTGTAGGATCCATTGGCGCTGACATTGCTCCACCCTGACATCGTCCCTGGGGGGAGCAGGATGGGTCTAGGACTGGCGAGGAGGAGTCCTTGTGCCAGAACCCAGCTCTTCCTGCCCCAGCCTCCCCAGGCTGGAGTGGATGCTGTGGTTCTTATGAGTTTCCTATATTCTGAAGAAAAAAGAAAGACATTTAGGGTCATCACGGCTTTGCTTTCATCTGAAACACATTCCTTAAGGCAGATACTAGGTGTGGAATTACTGAGCCAACTGCTATGAACAGTTTTGCAGATGCGAAGTGGATTTAACTGAAGTTGTATACATTTTTCACTGACTCACTGGTGTTAGTATTGAAGTAGCATAATTTATGAAAAACTGAGGGTTGTAAAAATAGCTTTAATTGGCTTGTTCTCCTTTCTGAATTTTCTCCTAATGTTCTTTGGCCATTTACCTGTTAGGGACTTAGTGTTTCCCTTAGCAACTTACATGTGAATGTCATTATGTCTTTTCTGTCCATTGGAATGCATTTTACAAATCCTGTTATTACTTTCATTTTGTTTAAGAAAACAAAATATTGTCTATGTGGTTGGGGTTTTTCTTAGATAGCGATGTTTGTACTTGCGTCAGTACCATACTATTTTTTAGAATAAAAGATTGAGAAGTAGTTCACTTACCACATAACTTTCCTATTTAAAGTGTACAATTTAATGTTTTTTAGTAAGTTTTGCTACATGTCACCATTGAGACCATAGTAATTCCACCATAGTCTTGAATTCATCTTATATGAAAATGTCCTAATTTTGTACAATTAGCTTGCCATATTTTATTTTACTCTTTGAACTAGGGTCTTGCTCTGTAGTTCAGGCTGGCCTAGAACTCACTATGTAGCCCAGACTTATTCATGGTAATCCTCCTGCCTCAGCCTCCCAAGTGCTGGGATTATAGGTGTGTGCCACCATGCCCATCTGTCACATTTTAAATTCCATTATTAAAAATATTTTTCAGTTCATTCTATTAGGTATTCTAGGGAAAATTTTTTCTTTCCTTTGTGTATAATAACTAGACTTCTATTTTAGTTTTATTTCTTATTTTGCAAACTAGAACTTCCAGAACAGTGTTACATAGTAATGGGATATTTTATTTTTCTCAATTTTATTAAGATTGTTTCTCTGTTAAGTATGATCCTGCTTGTTGGTTTGATATAGATATTCCTTAAATGTTAATAATGTATTCTCTTGTTCTTAGTTTTTAATAATTAAAACATCAAGAATCGTTATTTAATGTTTTCAAATGCTTTTTTTTGGGCATCAACTATAATGAGCCAATGCTTGAGAAATTTGACCTGTTGACCAGTAGATATAATATGTAATAGTTATACTTTTAAATGTTACTGAAATTGGTTTGTTAGTATTTTATTTAGAATAGATCTATAGGTTTTTCTGTTGGCACCATCTTTCTAAAATTATACTTGTTTCACAATGAATTAACTCAACTGCTTATTTTAATTCCTTATTTTAGAATTACTTCCAAAGCACCAAAATTTGTCATCCCTTGAATGTTTTGGGAGAAACTCACCAATAAAACAATCTATGTGAACTTTTTTGGGTGATAATTATTTGTTAACTCTTTCTGATTTCTTTCATGGGAGTTAATTTAATCTTTTAGCCTGCTCTTAAGCAAATCTGTAAAATTCTATCCTTCTGGAGATTTGTCCAGAGTGATGATATTTTGGAGTAAAAAGGTAGCTCTTCAGAGTATTTGTGGAAACTACATATATAAACACTGTCTCTGAAACACTCAGAGACCCCCACTGGAACACATCCTATTGTGAGGACGGGATTCTATGGCAGACCACAGCTGAAAGAAAGCTCCTGTCCTCCCAACTCAGACCCTGCTTCTTGCTAGCAGCTGCCTCGCTGCCTCACCAGACATCCAGATGATAGAAGACTGGGACCTGAGAAACACAGACCACGAGGGAAGGAAGATGTACTGCTGCACACAAGCCAGGAACTGCCAACCTCCCACTACCTGGGGGTCGTGGCATCAGCAGCTCCTAAGTGTTCAGCCCAGGGCAGGTGAGCGCCTCTTCCCATTCTTTCCTTGGCCTCTCTGATTTGATACACTCAAAACACTGATAACTATGTGATGACAGGCAGAGGGATTTAGAAATCATCTTGTTCAACTCTGGCTCTTAAGTGAATTTCCTTGGTTTTCACAGTTCTAGTGCCCAAGTTGTTCCAGTGACTACCATGGTTTGAGGCCAAGCAGTTCTCTGAGTTGATTGTTTTACCTAAATATCATTCCTTACTTAGGCTAAAACTCTCTTTGTGTAGTATCATTCCCATATGTATCATGCAGTCTACTGTGCATGGAGGCTCGTACGTGCACTAGGTACAGTGTCTTTGCCCAAGTTGCTTAGAGACCAGTGGTGAAGGCCACTGGATAGCATGTCCAAGGCCAGAGCACCACTGAGAAGTCTAATGCAGCCTCTGGGTGCCAGAAAAACTTCTCAGAGGAGCGGATTTCTAATCTGAGTCAAAATTTGAGTCAGCTAAAGCAAGGGCAGGTGTGGTGCAAACATAACGCTGAGAATTAGTGAGGGAAGGAGTAGAACTCCAAAGCCCAGTTCCCTCTCACTCTTACCAAAGCTCCAGGGAGACACCTGGGTTGGTGAATGTCCCGTGGAGGAAAAATGATAGGAAAAAGCAATCTGAGAGAGAAGTAAGAGGATGAACTAAACCCCCTGCTCATTTCCACTACTGATGAGACTCGATTTCTGCAAGGAGGCAAATAGGCTGGGTGTAGAAGATTTCCTTCTGGAAAGACCTGGAATGGAGGAGGGGGCAGTGGTGTGGCCCTTAGGCAGTGGTGCCGTTATCTGAGACAAAGGGATGAGCAGCCTGGGGCGAGCCTACGCCACTCTCCTTCCTTGTGCCTGCCCTGCCCATCTCCAGCCCTTTGCCATCAGCTCTTTAGCAAGAGCCACTACCCCCAGTCCTGCTGTCTTCTCTGGTGGTCCCTGGAGCTCATACTCACCCCAGCAAGTCAGGGAGGAGAAGAGAGAACCAGCAGGTTCCCTAAGTGCAGTTATAAATGCACCCCACTCCTCCCCTTGGGAGCCTTAGCATTGGCTCAGCCAATGTACAGTGACAAGAGCTGCCTGACTGACTCAAGGCCTCTTAGGAATGGCCCAGGACTGGCCTGGAGTCTGGTCTCCTGACATCCCAGACAGGATTTCCTATGGTCAGTGCTGCCCACAGTCCTTTCTCTGGAGCTGGAGACTCTATCCACATACACAGGGAGAATTCAGGTCTGGTGCTTCAGTCCCAGCCTACAGCTCAGCCCTAAGGCTGGATGGGGGGGTGCTGTTGAAATGAGGGTGCTGTCACCTTAGTTTGAGGGTGCGCATCTAGGGTTAGAGATTTTGGGCAAGTTGCCCAAGGCTACTCAGCAGACTGGCGGCAATGCTGCAATGGGTCACGTGAGCCAGACCTGGTTTCCTCCATTCACCCTTGTTTTGTCTCCTTCTGGAGATCAAGGGAAGGAAAGATGGGGTCAGGGAAGGTTTTGTGGAGGAAGATCCATCTGAGCCAGAACCAGAAGGTCTGGAAATAGCCACACAGGCAGCGGGGAGGCTAGCCAAGATGGAGGTGCATGGGTGTGGGGCTGCGGGGTCTCTCCCAAAGCCTTAGCTGTGGGGGAAAGGCTTGGAGCCCAGGGGACCCCCTGGAGTACATCTGGCGTGGTTTTGTTCAGCCCTAGTGGGTTGGGGAGGCCTAAGGGTGGTGACAGGTGGAGGCCGGGCTGGAAGGCCTTACAGACATTCCTGCAAATTCTGCTCAGCTCTGGATCCAGGTGGGAGGTTTTTATTCTTTATTTATTTTTATTTTTTTTATTTTAAAGAGTAAAAGAAGGATAACATAATAATGGGGGGGGCTTACCGAATTACAGACAAAGTGGTAGGAAATTATCAGTGGTTGTTGTTTTACATATCGTTATCTACAAGATAGTTTCTCAGGAAAACAAATAGACAAATAATAGTGAGCTACAGACAAAAGTGGTAGGTTATTATCAATGGTTGTACTATACTTTGGTATCTTCAAAGTGGTTTCTAAAGAAAATAAGTAGAGCTATACATGATTGACCAACTGAATATTCATTGACTATTCTCAATGGTTGTTGTAGGAAACACATAATAATAAACATACATCCATTTACAAAATAGCACAGGAACAATACAAACATTACAGAGTTAAGGACAGATTAGTAGGAAAATATCAATGGCTGCTGTAATACATGGTGGTATTGTCAAAGTGGTTTCTCAGGAAGACAGAGATACGCAAGAAAGATCTAACAAGTAGTTACAGCCTATGGGTTGTGAGAAATAGCGTATTACCTCCTCACCAGTGACTCCTTTCACTGAGGTGTGACGGCTTTTTCCTCTGTTTTTCCTCTATTGTCATGATTACCTGGGGCTCCTCCACGGAGATGACAGTCTGGCCAGAGGGAGAAGGCAGAGTATGCCCCGGGCCCCCTCACTCCTGTTGGACTAACTGGTAGGATGGGTCTGAGCTCTGGGGCCTCTGCTTCAGAGAGCAGACCTATCTCCAGTGGTCCAGGTGGGAACTTTTCCAGTGAAATTGCCATTATTACAATTTAGAAAGCTCTTTTATTTTCCTCAGATGACTTGATTTCCCCAGTACACCTGAGGGGTGGGTGACACCGCCCCACTTCTCAGGGGGGAGAGCTGAGGCTTGAGCAGGCAGTCTCCCCACTGCTTGGTAAGTGTCTCTTTGCTCATCCTCATTGCTGGGGAGCTAGGGGGGCCGGTGGGGCAGATTCTCCGCGCCATTTGAGTTGGGTCAGGGACCAGGCCTAGCCAGGGCCTCTCCTCTTGCCCACTCCACTCCCTAAGCCTGACATCCCCAATCCAGCTGTGTCCAGGCATGAAAGTGAGTATCTGTCCCCTCAGGTAGATAACCTGACCTCAGCAGTCTCAGTGTCTCCCCTACTGGAGGGCGCAGGAAATGTCCAGGCAGCAGGC